ATTCTATAGATCCAGTCAAAGATGTATTTTAGTCATTTCTGGTTTAAATTGAGATCCCTTCCCTTTATAACTCACTTATCCTCCGCCATTCCCAAGTCAAGGGTCGTATATACTGACCCAATAGCATATCTTGAAAACTAGAGCCAATCAACAATTTTAATCATTTTCGTTCTCAGTGACCCAGAATTAGTAAAGTTTGACTACATTTATTTCAGAAGCATTTTGGCTGTAGAGCAGTGTTACCAGTCAGACTTCTAGTTATTAACACTTGTGCCTTAAATTAACTTGCAAGTACAAAACTGTGCTTGAATAAACTGAAATTAGTATTGAACATCAGGGCATTCGTATCTGCTTCAGTTCAACTCAAAGGAGTGATTAATTTCAAAGGAGCTTAATTTCTGCCTCTAATTTTACATGTGCAACCTGGCATCCATAAACAATAAGGCACTGTTTGGAGGGCAGAAAGGTGAGAAATTAGAGGCTGATTTTCAGACCTGAGGTGTTCACATGTGATGTTTTCAACTTGGAATTTGTGTAGGGTACTGGATTTTGGCCCTGGAGGACAACAATGAGCCCCACTTTTGACAAGCTTGGATACAGAAACAGATTCAAAATGTTTGAGACCACGAAAATATCTCTGCATAGAACTTTCTGGAAAAAGAAATAATACAGGTTGCTGCTGCATTACTGAGCTAAGATGTGCATTTAATATTTTTCCCTTTATCCAATCAGTTCATTTCCAGTTATGCAAGACCACTCCATCATCTCAGCCATTTGTTTATGAGTTCCTAAGTAATCCATACATTTTAAGGTGATGCAAATATTAGGTTCGTTTTACTAATTTACATTTATGGTTCCTTAGTTTTTAGTCTGTGCAAACTAGGAACTATTTACCGTGAACTTATTTTTAGCCTTTTTTGCATTTCTTTCCATACCCCTCTTGTTTTACATTCCTTTCAGTTTATCTACAACTTGGTATAAATCTCTGTGGTTAGCCACAATGTTATAACCTAACACAGTGCAAAGTGTCTCTGAAAGAAAGTGACTCCTTTTGTGGTTGCCAATCGTGTGGGAGACAGATGCCTATGTTAACGGCTGGACTCGACAACCAACTGCCTGTCAGATCTAATAGCTGAGAGGGATGATAATGTCACAAAAAACCGGCTCCCTAACAAATTCAGTGGGAAGTGATTTATGGGAACACTCTGGGGCCCAGATCTGCAATGGCAATTTACTATGAACGAGCACCTCTGAATGTGTGATGCAGCAGTATTTTATTACTTGGATCGAGTCAGAAGTGTGCATGGCACTTTAAAGGTTTAAAATAAATAAATATGGCAAGAGCCCCGTACTGAGAAGCTTATTGTCTGTGACATTTGTGATAGACGCTGCAATCCCATGCAGTATCTTTGGGGACCGTTGTTTTAAATGTATGAATGATTTATGTATGATTGGGTTCTGCGCCGGGGGGAAGGTTACTACAGCTCCTCCAGGAACTCAAAACAGACTAAGATGAGCTGGTAAGGGCACTTCTACAGTTAAAATGCTGCATCGGTGCATCTGTGCTGCTGTAGTGCTTTAATGAAGATGCTAGTTAATTCACCTCTCTGAGAGGCAGTAGCTTTGTTGGCAGGAGAAGCTCTCCCACTGACGTAGCGCTGTCCACATGGAGGGCTAGCTCGGTATAATTACGTTGCTCAGGGGGGGATGGATTTTTCACATCCCTGAGCGACATAGCTATGCTGATATAGGTCTGTAGTGTAAACAAGACCAAAGACTGTAAACAACTCCAGAGAGGTACCATGCCCTGAGGTGGTTTGCATATACCAGTTCAAACGTGGTTTTCCAGAGACCAAGAGACAAAGAAAGATGTTTGGCTGAATTTAAACAGACTCTGGGCCTTCATTTTGAGTGAGCAAACAGATGGGATCTTCTGTACAAGGGGAGACCCCAACCCTTGCTGAAGGGTTGGAAAGGATATTGTACTACTAGCCTCCTCGTGTGGAAAATGGGCAATTTCTAGTATGTTTAGTACGCATGTGGGACCTTTCTTTGTTTTCATATATTTTCTTTTGCCTTAAGATTAAGTGTACTTTGCTTTGGAAGAGCCATGTGGTCATTAGTAAAAACACAATTTTTGTCCTTATTTATTGTACGTTATGGGTAGACAATGTACAGGAATATTTTGTTCCAATACTGGTTTGATAATTTATTGGGCTATATATTCCCACTCTGTTAAAGCATAGTTCTGGATATATTATTTTAGGCATACAGAGGCCTTCAGGCATAGGGGATCTATAAATAAAAATGCATAATCACTATTATTATTATTTTTTACGGTGGCCTTAAAACACCAGAAGGCTCCTGGACACAATAGACCAGCTTCAGGTTACATGTCAAGGCTTATCGCTCTTGCATGTCATTCTGGATATGCACACTTCCAGCACACTTGGGAAGGGTTTCTTTCCACTCATGACAGAATACACGGTCAGCAGCAGGCCTTGCTTGTTACACCTCTGTATTCAAAATTCATGTAACTATCAGGCCATTTAAAATTCTTTTGTTCCCCAAACTTGAAGTTGCTGAGCAACCTCAACTTGCATTCACTCCAATTTGAGTCCAGCATGCTCTGCACCACTCAGGAGGCCCTCAAAAAAGCAGGACTTTGGTTTGTAAATTGAAACTATTTTTTAATCTTAACAGTCTAAAACAAGCCAGTCAAACTGGTAACCTCCAATACACATACACAATACTGGAGAACATCGTAACTTACAAAATGCAACATTTTTTTTTCCAGAGAGCTGATCAAGCAATTTTTTGCCCATAGCCAATATTTGCAGCCAGGTTAGACATCCCCACAAAATAGGGGTTTACAATAGGAATGGTGACAAAATCCAACTCTGAAGCCAGCTAGTGGTACTGCTGTCATAATACCGTTCATGATATGGCTGGCAGTTCAGTTTGCGTTCCTTCTGGGCTCCTTTGAGCAGTTTTGGGAGTAAAGCAACTACCTTCGAAAAGTTGACACTGTTTGAGACCAGCCTCGTTTTGTTGCCATCATCATCAGTCACTGCTTTGAGCGGATGAGAAATTAGGCATGTACTCTTGGTGAGTGGCTGTCAGGTTGCAGTCAGACGGCCTGAGATCACTGCCGAGTTCAAGTACCTTTATATTTCCTGAGAAAAACAAGTTTTCTATAGCCAGCTACATGAACATTCATGTTGGCATGAAGGATAATGCTTCCATTTTAAAAGAGAGCCTCAAGTGTTTGCTTACAATTGCTAACACTGCAGCTGACGTGGGAAATCCAAACAGTGGATCAAAATGATTGAACTGCAGGCAGGAAGGGCAGGCACCCTTCAAGAAGATTGGACTTGAGAACCTCAGGCTGAAAGAAGCTTTCCTAATATGACTCTAGGCAAACATCTTCCTCCTGTCCTATCAGCTTGGTGTTCCTCTTTTACTGATTCAGGAAAATGATGATGACTAAAATGACTATACTCTAGGGGCAATCGAGCAAGGACTCAGAGGTAGGAACAAGGCCAGGAATAGTCAAATGTTTATAAATGGAGGCATTAATTATAGGAGACATTTTTAGAGTTGAGAAATTGCGTATTATAAACCCTAAGGGAATGGAATATTTGTGGACAGAAACATAGTTATTCTGACAGGCATTAGCATCTTTTTAAGTACTTTCAAATGGGAAAAAATACATACTTGATTAGTAGCAGCGTGGTCTGTCACTGGTGCCAGCTGGACATATTGGACCTGGATATCACTCCCTTGGAGTGGGGATCCATCTACGCCCCCAGATGCAGGATCTGCAGAGGCAACAGCTATCAACTGAGCACCCTGTAACACCTGCAGACAAACCAACAGAGAAAATATCCTGTAAACAACCATAATTACAAAGGCATTGTGAACATTGTGAAACATCTGTAACTACAAAACAGATGTGAGACCAAAAAAACAGGAACCCCACCAAAAAACTATCCATCAATAATGGTTAAGTTAAATTGCAAGGGTTTCCAAGAGAATAGGTATTCAGACTGAAGGACAGTTAGACCAGAAGCACTTTGTTGTGCTTTATAAAATCTGGATTCCTTCAATTTTTTAGTGAAACGGTTAACAGGCAACATACCTGGAAACGTTTACCTCTCATGATTCTGTAATACAAAACAGTTCTGTATTCAAAATGTATCAGCACTAGTGACGGCACAAAACCATCCTGAGGGATTATGCTAAATACTCCCGGTTTCATTTCTTTAATTAAAATAAAACCACCTTTGATTAACACATACAGAATGATGCTGTTATCCGGCACTTACACACTGCTTCCTATAACTAACTGCTGAACCTATTTTTCTTGTAATGAGTGCACCCAATTCCCATTAGCCTAGTTGGGGGTTACACCAACATTCTGAGGAGAGAGCCAAAATGGAACACTGGTGTTTACATCATGCTGTTCTGTGGCCCTAATCCAAAGCCCAGTCAAGTCCATGGAAGCATGTCCATTATTCCAGTGGCCTTTGAATCAGGGTGTAGAATCAGAGGCCCTGCCTGAATCCCAATAGTCAGAGGAAGATCTCTGCCCATGTCTCCTGTAACTGTACGGGGGGAGGGTAATAAAGCAGACCTGGGGACTAATGGCCCAATGACACCTCCAGAAGAAACCCAGATGCTCAGTGAGAGGAGAGGAGGAGCTAGAGCCCTGCAGTCAGTGACCACAGTGCTGTGTTGTAATTAACCAGAGCTGGGGCTTTTTCTGCTAGATTTTATGTTTGCATAAAAACCTTTGGCTTCATTTGTTATTACAGATGTATCCTAAAGCCCATGATATGGGGTAGGAGAAGGGCTTTGCCAGGATGATTGGCTCTCGTTACTGGACCAGGTGTCTGATGCCCCTAGCTTACAAGGATATACAGTACTGTTAATGCCGTAGGCCATATTTTCACAAAAATTGCAATTTTTCACATTCTTAAAATCACTTTGGAAAAGGTAATTAGTAGTTATTTAATTGCAGTTAACTCAAGCGATTAACACAAAAATATTAATTGTGATTAATCGCAGTTTTAATCGCACTGTTAAACAATAGAATACCAATTGAAATTTATTAAATATTTTTTGATGCTTTTGTACATTTTCAAATATATTGATTTCAATTACAACATATAATACAAAGTGTACAGTGCTCACTTTATAGTATTATTTTATTACAAATATTTGTACTATAAAAATGATAAACAAAAGAAACAGTGTTATTCAATTAACCCCCTTACAATACCGTAATGCAATCTCTTTATCATGAAAGCACAACTTACAAATTTTGGGGGCTTTGTTACGTAACATCACTCAAAAACAAAACAATGTAATACTTTAGTGCCTACAAGTCCACACATCCTACTTCTTGTTCAGCCAATCATTAAGACAAATACAATTGTTTACATTTATAGGAGATAATGCTGCCTGCTTCTTATTTACAATGTCACCTGAAAGTGAGAACAGGCGTTCGCATGGCACTTCTGTAGCCGGTATTGCAAGGTATTTACACGCCAGATATGTTAAACATTTGTATGCCCTTCATACTTTGGCCACCATTCCAGAGGACATACTTCTGCTCGTTAAAAAAATAATGCGTTAATTAAATTTGTGACTGAACTACTTGGGGAAGAATAGTATGTCTCTGTGATCAGGCGCAGACTCACCCCTGCGGCGCCTCCTGCTGGTCGTCTTGGGAATTAGCTCACCAGTCGTCGAAGCACCCTCTGCAGGCCAAGTGTCCCACCTGTCGTTGGCCCCCATGTCCCTCCCGGACCCCGGTGCCCTTGGCTTGGGTGCTGCCCCCCTGGCCGTACCCCACTCTCTCTCTGGGTCTCCCCATCCAGGGGAACCACCACCCCCTATCCTCACGTCGCCTCAGTCGTGGCTACTGCCAGTCACCATCTAGCCCCCGCGCCCTGGGGCGGACTGCAGTCTATCAGCCAATCATCACAGGCAACAAGGGGTTTGGACTGGCTGCCTTTGCCCACCCTCAGGCTGCCCCTCTGCAACCCCAATACCTATGTGGGCCTAGGATCAGGCCCTGCAGCCTGGGGAGTTGCTGGCCTAGGGCTTCCCTGCCCCCAAGGCCTTTCCCCAGCCCTGCCTCACTCTAGGTCCCTGGATGAGTTCCCCAGCAGCCAGGCCTGTCTCTCTCTCCAGTCAGAGTGAGACTCCTGAGCTTCTGGTCTTCTTATAAGGCCGAGTTGCTCTTTTTGGGGCATGGCCCCAGCTGCAGCCACTTCCGCCAATCAGCCGGGGTTTTGCTCCTTGCCCCAGCCCCAGCCCTCTGCGGGGCTTTTCCAACCCCTTCCGGGCTGGAGCGGGTGTTCACCCCACTACAGTCTCCTGCTTTACCCACATTCTGCCATATATTTCATGTTATTGCAGTCTCGGAAGATGACCCAGCACACGTTGTTCGTTTTAAAAACACTTTCACTGCAGATTTGACAAATCGCAAAAAAGATACCAATGTGAGATTTCTAAAGATAGCTACCACACTTGACCCAAGTTTTAAGAATGTGAAGTGCCTTCCAAAATCTGAGAGGGATGAGGTGTGGAACATGCTTTCAGAAGTCTTAAAAGAGCAACACTCCAATGTGAAAACTCCAGAACTCGAACCACCAAAAAAGAAACTCAACCTTCTGCTGGTGGCATCTGACTCAGATGATGAAAGTGAACATGCGTCAGTCTGCACTACTTTGGATCGTTATCGAGCACAACCCCTCATTAGCATAGGCGCATGTCTTTTGGGAGGGTGGTGGAAGCATGAAGGGACATATGAATCTTTAACGCATCTGGCACGTAAATATCTTGCGACACCAATTACAACAGTGCCATGTGAAGAGGAGGTTACTCACCCTGTGCAGTAACGGACGTTCTTCGAGATGAGTGTCCCTGTGAGTGCTCCACTTCAGGTCAAGGTGCGTCCCAGCGCCTTTGATCGGAGATTTCTACAGCAGTACCCCTATGGGCCGTGCACGCACTGTGCCTGCCTCACGAGCTGTCAGTGTTTGAATAGCGCGTGCACGGCCCGGGCTCCTCAGTTCCTTCTCTACAACGGAGTCCGTTCCAGATTCCGAAGTAGAGGGGAGGAGGGTGGGTAGTGGAGCACCCACAGGGACACTCATCTCGAAGAACGTCAGTTACTGCACAGGGTGAGTAACCTCCTCTTCGAGAGAGAGATGTCCCTGTGGGTGCTCCACTTCAGGTGACTGAAAAGCAGTATCCTTTAGGATGGTCAGGACTTTGGATCAGGTAAGAAGGCTGTTGACAAGACAGCTCTACCCATCCTGGTGTCGGATGCTGCGTGTGCATGAGAGCGTAATGATTGGCGAAGGTAAGGTTCGATGCATATGCCTTGCATATGTCAGAAAGTGGGACATTACGGAGAAAGGCAGTGGAAGTGGAGACAGCTCTAGTAGAGTGGGTCCTAATTTATGTCAGGGGTTGTATGTGCTTCAGTTGGTAGCAGAGACGTATGCAGTCTGCAATCCATTTGGAGAGTCTCTGCGTAGAGATAGCTTTTCCCTGTGATCACTGAGTGGTAGAGACGAAAAATTTGGGGATTTTCCTAAAAAGGGGTTTTGTTCTATCCAGGTAAAAGGATAGTGCTCTGCGCACATCAAGAATGTGCATTGCTGTTTCAAAAGCATTAGCGTGGGGTTTTGGGGAAAATGTTGGTAGGTGTATTGGCTCATTGAGGTGAAAGGAACAGTGCATCTTAGGCAGGAACTTCGGGTGTGTGCGGAGTATGACCTTATCACGGAATAATGTGGTATACGGAGGTTCCGCCATGAGTGCTCCCATTTCTCCTTCTCGTCTGGCAGACATGATTGCTATCAGGAAGGTGGTCTTCACGGATAGGTGGAGAAGGGAGCAGGTAGCCATTGGCTCAAAGGGTTTATCCATCAGGGCTTTGAGGACTAGGTGGAGGTCCCAGGGCGCAGCAGGCGGTTTTACGTCTGGATAGAATGTTTGGATGCCCTTCAGGAACCTTTTGGTTCCTGGATGGGTAAAGACCGTAGTGTTGTCGATCTTATGGTGAAATGTGGTGATTGCCGCGAGGTGGATCTTGAGGGAACTCGCAGAGAGACCTAATGTTTTAAGGTCTAGCAGGTAATCCAGTATCAGTGGGAATGGGGCGGAAACTGGGGAGGTCTGTTTGGCTGTTCACCAAGATGTGAACCTCTTCCATTTATGTAGGTAAGTAGTGCATGTGGTGTGTGTCCTGCTGTGTAGTAGGACTGTCCGCACTTGTTCAGAACATGCTAACTCCTCATTAGAAAACCATTGATTAGCCGGGCCCTCAGGTGGAGTCGCTGTATGTCGGGGTGAAATAGCTGGCCCCTGCATTGTGATACGAGGTTGCTGGGGGTGGGGGGGGGAAGAGGAATCGACGGCTTGACCAACATCCGCATGAGGAAGGGATACCATGGTTGTCAGGGCCACGATGGGACTATTAGAATGATATTGGATCTGTCTGTTCTTATCTTCTGTATTATTCTGTTCAACAGAGGTATTGGTGGAAATGCATACATGAGAGTGTCGGTCCATGGGAGCATGAAGGCGTCTCCTCGAGAGTGTTTCCCCAGGCTGGCTCTGGAACAGAATGTCGGGCATTTTTTGTTTATTGCCGTGGCAAATAGATCTAGTTTGGAATAACCCCAGGTCTGGAAAATGGTGGATAGGATGGCGTCGTCGAGTTCCCACTTGTGCTGTTTGGGGAAGGATCGACTGAACTCGTCTGCAGTGGTGTTCTGAGAACCGGGCAGATATGAGGTGGAGATGTGGATATTGTGTTGAAGGCACCAATTCCATAG